CATCGTCATCGTCTCTCGAGCATTTTCACAACAATTTGTCTAACTGATTTTGTAATTTATGCCACCCAGCAGCAGCAACAGCAACAGCAACAGCAGCAGCAGCCGTATCAAACGCAGGAGGACAGGAAAAACTTTCGCTTGGTTTTTGTCGTCGGAGTTGCTGCCTCATAAAACTGCCTTCGAATTGAAAAGCGGCCAATAAAGATTGAACAATTGATGTGCGGCTTGCTGCGACTCGACTCTGCGTGGCATTCACCTTGGCAAACAAAGGCCATCTATTACCATTTTCTCGCCCTGCGGTTGCCATTGATATTTCCACGGAACGAATACAAAAACCTCTAGCAAAACTCTTAACATTCCCCCAGTCTTGGCATTTGAACAATAACGACGATATTTGCATCGTTTATAGATATTTCACTTTCCTTTCTTTCTTTCTATCTGTCTTTCTTTCCTTCGCCTAGCCAAAGGCATCAACGAGCTGACAAATTTGTGCTATACGTGCCCGGACCAGCAAAAGGGTTCTCTGAACCCATCTCCATCTTCGATGTGCGATGCGCGATTACAGCATCTGTGCTCCAGCAGCTCCAGAAGAATTCTCTCCCACCCCCCCAAGCTGCAACCTCATCAATATGCTGTGCTGCCCGGCACCAGCACCAGCACCAGCAGAGGCATCGGCAGCGGCAGCGGCACCAACAAGATCTTTTGCCTGTGAATGATCTATTGGGGCCGTGTTCATTTACGGCCCAGCCAGACACAGTTGAGTCATGGCTGGGGCAGCATTTTAATGAAGCCTAAAGATCCACAATAAATTATGGGGAAATTCATTTAATTTGTTGTGGCTTCGATGGCTACGATGGACAGGCCACATGGGCTGTGGGGCGACTGTGGAAAGACCTCCCAAAGTTCTTAAATGACCAATTTGTTGCTCTCAATTGTGTTCTGTGGTTTACTGTGCTCTTTTTAATGCAATGAAAACTTCATTTTTCATCGAGTTATTTTGATAACTGTTTTGGGGAAACCCAATGGACTCAATATAGTTTTGACAGGGAGAAGAAACTAATACTAATTAAAGTGGGGAATGTTCATTCTTTTGTTACTTTTAGCACGGGTTTCCTTTGAAGTATTCTCTTGATAGATACTTGATTCTTTTTTGTAATAATAAACGCAATATTAATATGAAGATTAATACAATTGTCTGCCCAAAACATGTACATTTATGTTCAGAAGAATTTCCAAAGCAAACTCTGGTGCTGGATTATTCAGACTCTTAGGTACATGAGATGTCCCCCATTGTTAACCTGGGAAAGTTGGTCGCTTAAGTCTATTGTTTCCATTAGCGGAGGTTGCGACTCGGGCTATCCATTATCTTAATGAAAACATATAGAACTGGCCATATATCTTTGTAGATTGCAATATTCATTGCCATTGCCATTGCCTTGAGCCTCACTCGGGGCAAGTTTGTCGCCCAAGTCTTTCGTTGCTTTGCGCACATTCCTCGTGGCTTTTGGGAGAAATCAAGTTTGCATTGCCAAATCTTTTCTCCACATCCCCAGCTCCACGGGTACGAGTTGGTTTATCCGCGCGCGTCCTTTTCATTATTTGTAGGTGTCTATTGGGTCAGACAAAATGCATTGGCAATATCACAAAGTAATGAGATATGCGCCCCTGATATATGGCAGGCACTTTGGGCTGACAAAATGAGCAGCCAGGCCATAAATATGCCAACCGACAGCCGCATCTGGGCATCGGAGCATCTGAGCATCTGAGACACTGAATGCGCCGTTGCCAAGTGATTTTCTCGCACTTATTTCCAAAGCTGTGCGCCGTCGACTTGATAAATTAACACTCTGCACATGCCATTTGTTTATTTGCCTAAATAAATCGCCTGAATCGAACCTGAATTCGAATCTGAGTCTCAGGTCTGAATTTGAATTTGGATCCAAATGCGCACCCAAAGCTCACCGCGGCAGCAATTGAAACTACAAAAAAAAAAAAAAAAGAAAAGAAAACTCTTTTTCTATCTAGAGAAAACTCTACGGAACCTCCCTCTGGCCTCGCGCGCAACCACACAATCAAATGAACATTTGGGTGCTGCTGAAGTTGGAGCCAATTTATGTGGCTAAAACCAGGATCCCGATCCGCCGGGCACTGGCAATGGTACTGGTGCTGGGACCTCTGCATCGACTGGAACTTTGTTTATTGCCCCACTAAGGCGACTGACCCACAACATTAAATTGTAATTTGAGTGGGGCAAACGAACATTTTACGGCAAACTGCGAATTTCGCTTAACCCAAGCTCAGAGCTCTGTTCTTCGGTTCTTCGGCCTTTCGGTTTGCCATGTTTCTTGTTTCTTGCTCATGTAAGTCAGTGAAGTCAACAAGAAATCGAGTAATTAGAATTCCCATCTGTGACTGCGACTGAGACTGAGATGGAGATGGAGACTCTTCACGCCCCACAATGGTATGTCCGAGTGTGTTTGTATCTCTCAAATGTGTGAGGAAAAACGGTATTGCAAGAGGCACGCGACTCATTCTGGTGGTTTCGCTAATGACTCGTCCATGTCAATGACCAGGGAGCAGACGCAGATGCAGACCCCGACTCAGGCATGGAAATCGATTTGCCAGCAGCAGACAATTGCATAATCGTTGATTATACGCAAGCTGCAGAGACACGAACTGCAAGTCGAGCTGAAAATCAATTCGATTAGTGCGGAAATCAATCCGAGAAATGCATTTTCCATGCCAAAGAACCGCAAGGCCACTAACGATCCAGCTACCAGCTACTAGGCTACCAGCGTTAAGCTTTCAGCTGCAAACTCCCAGCTACCAGCTACCAGCCTCGAACCAGCCTCCATATCGATCTTATTCCGAAGATCTGTAGCTCGTTTCGGGTATTGCCTCCGCGTGCGTGATCCCAGCAAGTGGCGTTATTTTCTAATTCTTATCAATTATGCCTTCCCCATGCAAAAGGAGGGCTGGTTGGATGGCTTGGGTTGGGGTTGGGATTCATTCGCGTTCGTCGGATTGCAAATGTTTTTTCAATTGCATTTCCGTCAGGCCATTGTCTGGGCTATCCACCAGCAATTCATAAAAATTATGAAAAGAGCCAACAAACAGTGGCACTGGCAGCAGTGGCAGTGGCAGCATTTGCAGTGGCAGGAGAAAAACTGCTACCCACCCAGATTGGTCCCCAAGGGCCGACTGGCCGGTGGAGTGGACTAAGCCGCTGTTGGCTTAGACGCCGCCATCTAGCGATGGTCAACCTCATGGTCGTCGTTGTCGCTGTTGACATTGCCGCGGACATTGTCAAGCCGAGCACTTTATTTGCTGCGCGTTTGACATAAACATTTGCCCAGCGGACAACTGAATGGCCAGGGCCTCTGTACGGCTCCTTATAAGAGTGCACGACACGCCGCCACTGCAGGAGCAACCAGAGCCGCCGGTGGAGCCGGCCACCGCGCCACGCCACGCCACCGTCTCTTGTCATCGAATGTTGGCAATTTTTGAAATACGCATTGCAGAATTTATGTTATGCGTACCACAGTCCCCCCCAACCCCAGCTCAGCATTCAGCATCCAGCAGTGACAAAAATATAGAAAAGTCAGACAAACAAACGGCTGCCTCCTTCTGATCGAGGCTGAAGTCCAAGCACGGAAAGTGTCCAAAGACTTTCGCTATGCCAAAGACCAGGAGGAGGTGCAGTATTAGAAAAACAAAAGCAAAAAGCAACAACAACAACAAAAACGTAGTAAATAGTAAAGAAGAGCCTCCTCTGGAGGCCATCTCCGAGGCTTTGTCTAAATTTGGATGGCCATGTCAGTGACAGCATTTGACTTGGCAACTTTTCATGTTCATGTTTGCCCACTCGGCTCGGCGCATGGAGTTCAAAGCATCAGATTCCAGATAATGTTAAACATTTCCTTTCAAATTGTTTTTCCTGGCTACCTGCCATCTGTTGCCGGCCTGCGGTTGGTGCTGCTTCTGCCATTCTTTGCGACTGCCATCTTTGGGCTGGTTTGATAGAAAATCAGTAATAATTATGACAAAAAAAATTATGGCAATGGCAGATGAAGATTGCCTCAAATCTCTCTGGAGAGAGCTGCTGCGTTCCATTGCCCAGGAATTTCTTCAAAAATTATTCGAATCACTAGCAAGACACCAACATAAATACACATGGATGTGATAAAGAGTTACCATTTTCAGTAGCTGTCGATAGGAATCCTTCAAGGCTATTTTGTGAATACTAGAAATCTTTCAAGACATATTTTACTCTGTTGCTAACAGTAGAAGGAAACTACCCACATACTCGAACGTATATAATTTGAAAAACATTCCAAGAAAATGTTTTAAATAATTTTCCAAGCATTTCTCTTACTTGTACACCTCTCCGCTCACCCACTCTTATGGGTGCCATAGAAACCTTCTACTCCACCTCCATTCCACTCCACTCCATTCCACTCCACTCCAAAATGTAGGTGAAATCAAGTTAATGAAGTTGTTTACCTTCAATTCGTAGCCTTCTTTTCCTCGCCCAATTAGTTTGTCACTTTTACTGCAGCTACACTTTGGTCTAAGCGGAGTTCAGTTAAGTTCAGTTCAGTTTAGTTTGCTTTGCTTGGCTTTTGGCTGTTGGCTGGGCTCAGTTCGGTTTCACTTGGCCAATTTCCCATTTCCCATTTCCACCTGGTAAGTGTGGCTCGGTATGGCCTGGCATTCCCATTCGATTGCGGGCGAGCAGAGGGAGGAAGGCTAAACGTTGCTCTTGATTGATTTGTATCAACGTTGATTAGCCCAAAACCAACAATCATGGCCATGGCTTGAGGTTGAGGTTGGCCTTGTTAGGCCAGCCAAACCAAGGCAAAGATGGCAGGCTTGCTGGCAGTCGGACCAACCAACCAACCGACAGAGAGTCAATCAATTGGCATTGACATTGACGGGCAAATTTTGTTTTCCCAAATCAAAAAAAAAAAAAAACAAAAGAAAAGCGAAATGCAAACGAGTATCTTTCTAATACGTTTATTTACCTTTTATAGCATCTGAAGTTTTGTCTCTTGTTACATTTTTTTTCTGTTTCTGTTTCTGTTTCTCTTTCTTATATTCTTGTGTGTGTGTGTGTGTGTTTTGTGTGTGTTCGTTTAGACCTAGCATATATATGAGCATTAAGTTAAGTTAAGTTAAGTATTTAAGTATTAGCAGACAGTCAAACCTCTTAAACGAGCAATTGGCCAGTAGTGGGGGGGCGGGGGCGGGGGGAGTCGTCAGTACGGTGCTCGCTTGAGAGGTTTGAATGGTTCGTTCGCACTACGGACTAAGGAGCTTTTACGAGTCTTAAGCTGATAGTATGTCGACACATTCAGAGTAGTCTTAGCGGTAAGTCTTATAGAGGGGAGGTGGGGGTGGGGAGTACGGGGGTACTGGGACTCCTAAATGATATATGGGCATGGGCATGGGCATATAAGTAAAGTAAGTATAAATATTAAGCTACAGCGGGAGCTTGGGCTTCCTCCCTTCCCTCGATCCAGTTGCCATTTGTCTAGGTTTCATCTTCCAGTTCACAGAGGAGTCCAGCTCAATGTTGCTGCCACATTCGGATGCTGGGGGAAGGGCCTCGCTCTCATCTCGCCTGGCTCTCCGTTCTCCGTTCTTCGTTCTCGTACATCTACTAACTAGATTATGAGCGGTGCTAAGTTTTGAGCTAAGTAGAATTTCATGCTAGTTCTTCCTTCGTTTCATCTTCACGTTTGTTGCGTTGCGGAAAGGCAAATGCTGTATTGCAGTCTTGCCTCTTTGCCGATGTCGGGCGTTCGTTCTCTCTGGGATTCTGGTATTCTGGGATTCGATTGCACACTCACTCCAGCCTCGCCATTTACCGCTTGTGTAACGCGCGCTTCTGCATATTGTCCCAGACAGCGATGACCGTCAGCTGGAGGAGCAGGAACAGTGCCCCGGCAATTATGAAACCTGTACAAGCAAACGGATGAGATGGGTTTGTGTGTGTGTGTGGTGTGTGTTGTGTGTTTGTGTTGGTAATAGAGTTGTAAAATAAGTTGAAGTTGAAATTTACGAGCTTATTTAATTAGCTGGGCACTCAGTCGGCACATTGGAGCCGCAGTCTGCCCAGTCTGGGGCAGCTCGCGGGCTAGATGGCGCGACGGCACGCGATTAGCGCAAATCAATTCGCCACGCTCGGCGATACCTGCCCAGATAGAGCCACAGACCCGAGACCCCAGACCCCAGACCCGAGATCGCCACCGTGCTACGCTCTGCCCAGAGAGTGAACTGGATGGAACTTACCATAACCATTTATGCAAGTGTCCGATTTGGTGGCCAGTTCCAGTTGCAATTTGGCCAGGCCATCGGTGGGCCCTGCGCCGATGCCGTTGCCGTTGCTGCCGCCGCCTGAATCGGCGCCATTGAAGGCGAACTTATCGGTGATTTGTATCGATTGCACCAGCAAAATGTTCTCATCGGTTGCGGCCGGCTGATGACTCACATCACGTTTTTGGCGTTCCGACTTAATGGCCAGCTCCACTGTGAAAAGGTAGCAGGGAATGGAAAGAATGGAAAGAGAGGCAGAAACAAGAAATGAAATATGTTTTCTGGGAGCCAAGAGCTGTGTGCAACCCGACCAGGGATGGAGTGCAACAGCAACCTCAACAGCCACAGCCACAGCGAGTGCCCGCTCTTAGAGTGTTGCTGATGCTGGTGCTGCAATTATCCACTTCCCTTTCAAGATGCGGCAAGGGAAGCTGCAGAAAGGTCACCTCGGTGGCGTTGCAGTGGCAGCCATCCCTGGCACAAGAGAACCGTTTACTTACCGCCATCGGTGCCATTCAGCACTGAGCGCTTGCGCCGACCGTATGATAGAAGACTCTTGAGTTCTCCGTTCTCATCGTTGTCGCAGATAACCGGTTCGCAGCGCGGTATGCAGGGCGTGACCAGGGCGCGGAACTGCACCAGCTCCGAGGAGGGGAACTTGAAGGCGTCGAACTGTGAGAGCAGCACCTTGCGATTGCTGGCCATCTTCTGCATGGCACTCATTATGTACTGGTCCGTGGGACAGCCGTTGGCATCGATCAGCGTGATTTCGGCACTGTCCGTCCCGTCCATGGCCACCAGTTCCCGCACAAATATCTCGTACGGACTGTTCGCGTCCACAATCTCGAAGCGGAGGGCGAGCGGGTCTCCCACCTCGGCAATGCGCTTCATGTCGCTGCCATCACGTGCGGTGATCTTCATGATGACATTCGGGGAATCGACAATGATTTCCTCGCTCAGCGTCGACTCGATCTCGCCGGTTACGCCCAGATCCACATTGTTCACCACCGTCTTGTTGGTCAGATCGTACTGGCAGGAGACGGCCAGTCCCAGATCGGAGGAGGTGACAATCATGTCATGGTGCTGGATGACAATGTCGTTCATATAGCGGCCGTAGGCACTCTGGCGGACGTTGCACTCGAGGTCGTTGTAACGCATCTTCAGATCGAACTCCAGAGAGTTGTTTACGTTCACAGCGCAGGATTTGGGGGCTCCCTTGGCGTAGACCTTGCCGTCGAAGAGCTTGGAGGTGCGAATCTTGGTGATCATTTCGCCAGAGCGGCAATCGATGGACACATTATAGCAGGCAGACTGCTCGTAAGTGGCCGCCTCTTCAATGCTCAGATAGGGCTCCGAGAGATCCGTCAGGGTGGCGCGACTGTGGTGCGAGAGGCGGCAGACATGCTCACCGGTCTCGTTGTAGTCGTAGGAGTGGCATCGGAACGGGGCGGTGAGGCAGAGGTCGCGACAGTCGTCGATGCTCTGCACATTCTGATGCACCGAGTCGACCGTCTTCAGAATGCGACCCGAGATCCGCTTGAACTCACACAGCTTGCTGGGCTCCTCCGCGCAGTTGTTCTCCAGATAGTCGGCGCCATCGTAGGCCGCGATGTTCGCCTCGTCCGACAGCGTAATGCGATCCATGTCCGAGAGCTCGCACAGGCCAGAGTGCGCATAATAGTTGGCCGATCTTCACAAGAGTCGCAAGCAACCAGTAAGAGGCAAGGTGCAAGAGGCAAGAGGCAGATGCAGAGTTGGATAGTTGGATAGTTGAAGAGGGATACAAGAGAGTGGCACAAGAGGGTGGCAGATGAATGAGTTGGGTGGGTACGCTGCTCGTTGTAACGGGATTCCAGCACTTACCGACAGGTGAACTCCGTCTCGCCCAGGCACAGCTCGATGCAGTCGCGCCTCGTGGCCACGCTCTGGCTGGCCTTGGCTCGCTCCGGCAACCGGTAGCCCTGTACGCGATCAATGCACCAGGCCTTCGAGCAGGGTCGCACTCCGAAGCAGGATTTCTGTGCGTATACGGTAAAAACGGGATACTGGGAGCGCGAAAGTGAACCTATGCCACGATTGTGGGGGGTGTGGAGATGGGAGATGGGGGAGGAGTGGAGTTCACATTTATTATAGAACATTTAACATACAAGCTTTAAGCAGTAGATCGTGGTGCAGATTGTAGCCCACTCGCTGGCTGTTGGTACTCACCTGGCAACTGATCGGCTGTGCTGCGGAACATGACACACAGGCCCGTCTCATAATTAACCGAGCTGCAAGATTCATTGGCCTGGCAGGCCTCCAGGCAGTCGGTCAGCATGAGGGTGCCGGGCAGCGTTTCCAATTGCCTCGATGGCGCCGATAGCACGTACCTATAGACCATTCGAGATGGAATGGAATGGAATGGGATGGGATGGTATCGGGGATTAGGCGGAAAGTAACGCACATAAATTCATGGATACCCGTTCGGGAGCAACAGGTTTCTCTCCCTCTCTCTCTCTTTCAAGTCCCCCCTCGAGTGGGTGGCTTGAAGTGTTTTTTAAATAATATTATAAATTGAATTGAATCTTCCCCTATGGGTAGAATCTCTTGCCGAGAATCCAATTGCCAGATGCTTGAATTATGTATTCAGATCACGGCTCGCTCGGCTTGCCACGAGCAATACCAAACGGGAACGACATTTTCAAGTTGTTGCATTCTTCGGATATTCTTTGGACATTCTTTGGGTTGGAAATTACACTAGACTCTTTTCTTCTGTGGCTCAAAAGTTATGAGTTCTTTTTTCAGATTTAAAACCAATTAAAGAAAATAATTTATTTGCCTGTAAATTGGCTTTAAATGTGGGCTACCAGGTGTAGAAATAATTCAAAGCTTTTACAAACCTTTTATCTTGTTAGTTGGATAACATTTTGAAGGAATTTTGTAGCCATGCGTTGCTTTTTTTTACGATGTGTTAACAGGGAACGACACTGCCATCCCATGCTATAAGTCTCGCCTAATTTATGCCCCCCTCGATGGCTGGCTGGATGCTATTTTGCTTGGTCTCTGCTCCCCTTGGGCAACTAATTGCACGGAATTAAGATTTATGGCCCTGCCCTGGTGACACTTACCCTGTTATAAGCTCGAAGCCAATCATATCCGGCTCGCAGTCCTCATCGATCAGGCCCGAGCCGCCTGAAGGTGTTGCGGTTGGGGTCTGGTTGGCAATATCATCGGCTTTGGTCTCCACATTGGCAGGTGATGCCGCTACCGATGCCAATGCCGATGCTGATGCTGATTCTGATGCCGCTGCCGATGGGGTTCCAGGTGGCGATGCGACAATCGCTTCCGCTGGTTCGTCGGATTGCAGCGTCAACGGTTTTGGTAGCTCGCTTCCGTTCAATGTTGCAGCTCCCGCTGTGGCTGTGGCTGTAGCTGTGGCTGTGGCTGTGGCTCCCACTGCTGCTGCTGTTGCTGCTGAGAGTGCCCCTGCTGCTGGTATTGGTGTGGCATTGTTGCGCGGAAATGTCTTCAACGGTTTCACCGGCCGCTTGGGCAGAAGCTTGCGTGCTGCCACCGAGCTGTCCACCAGCAGCATTAAGGCAACCAACACCAGGCAACATGTCGTCTTGGTCGTTGTCTTCATCATCATGCTGCTGACTCGTTTCTTTGTCATTGACCGTAGCTGTAGTTGCATTGCTGTTCTTGCCACTGCAGCAAGTTTTGCTTTTGCTTCTGCTTCTGCTTCTGCGTCTGCGTCTCCTCCTGCTTCTACTCTGCGCGTTGCTGTTGAGGGGGAACAAAAAAAAAATGGTGTTTTGGTAGCTTGGTTTTTAATTAGCATTTCAGACTGTGCCCCAGCACTGGCTGGTTTCCCACTCTCATGCTTATCTCATGATTAATAGCGCCAGCAGTTACAGTTAAGCTTTAATAATGGGTTTAATGTTGGCCCAGCAGCAGCAGCGCCACCAGCCATCAGCCACTATCTTACGGCAATTGCAACTGCAACTTGTGCTATTGCTACTGTGTAAGTGGCCGCTTGCAACGCCCACCATCACGAAATGCTGCCTTTGATTAATTGCAATGAAACAGATGCAAAATCAATTTAGTTGATGATCCCCCGATGCCAGGGCTGGTATCGGCTTCTGTGGGTCTCGCTTTGGACTCTGCCAGTGGCCAGTGGCCATTGGCCAGTGGCTGTGGCACGCACGGGCCCAGGAATTAAAATAATGCCACTTAGCCAAACGCACGCACAGGAAGCCGAAAGATACTGCGAGTATAACCAGCAGCTGAAGATGAGGTGGTTTCAGCCCAAGACCCAACTTAAACCCAAAGCTGTAAGCCGAAATGGTCAAGAGGAATTCTGATTGGGGGCCCCCTGATCACAATGCGATCGATACGAACAGAATAGAACAGAATAGAACACAACTCTTGGATGCTGGATGCTGGATGGGGATGCTATGCTATGCTGGTAGTTGGATCGTTAGTGGCTTTTGCGGTTCTTTCTCTTCGGCGGCATAGAAAATGCATTACGAGTAATATGCGTTAAATCACAGAGCTCCACTCAGCTCAGCTCAGAGTTCTCTTCTGTTCTCTCTGATCTGTGTGGAGCGTGGAGGTTTCCACATGCTCGGATTGATTTCCGGACTAATCGAATTCGACTGCAGATCGCGGACTCTCATCTCAGCTCTCGAGTCTCGGCCAGCTGCTCTCGGGAGTGCTGCAGCACCTCATAATCAGCGATTATGCAATTGCCTGGCTGCAAATCAATTTCCATGGTCTCTGGTCAATGACATGGCCTGGCCAGGGCAATGGAATGAGCCGCATTGAAGCGTGCCTGAGAGTCTGCAGGAATTCCTTGAATGGGAAAAACATTCTAATTACTCGACTCTTCGACTTCCACTACAACTGGCAGCCACAAGTGCACAGCCACAGTGGAGTAGCTGCAACGGAGCCTCAAATGCTGTATTGGCCTTGTTGCTACGCTGTTTGCTGCCTGTTGTTTGCCCCACTCAAATCACAATTTAATGTTGTGGGTCAGTTGCCTTAGTGGGGCAATAAACTAATCCTAATCCCCGCCGCAGTAGTAGCAGTAGCAGCCGCCAGCCAGTTGCGGCCACTCTCAGCCATGGACATGGACATAAATTTCCATTTGGCAGTCGGTGCTGCTGCTGCTGTTGCTGCTGCTCCTGCTGCTCCTACTCGGACTCCAGCATCGACTTGGACCGACTGCGACTGGCCGTGGCAGGCATTTCAATTCGAATTGAATGGAGATTTATATATGCATGCTAGTATCGGGATTTTTGTTCATTTATCAGGCTGAGTCGCGGCGGCGGGGGGCGCCAGTTTAGCAACCCGTTTCCCTCTATTTTAGCATATTTACAGCCAAATTTGACAGTTTGTTTGGCTTCTCTTTATGGACTGAAGTGTTTTGATGTGGCTGGGGAGGGGAGGAGAGTGGGTCGGGGAAAAACGCTGCTTAATTATTGATCCGATAGACAGAGAGAGGGAGAGAGAATTGAATGGACTAAAGTCTCTAGGAGCCTCTAAGTGTGGCTTTCCAACACCGGGATCTGGTCCAATATTCGGGCTAATCCCACTGAGGAGTGCGGTCCGTCTGTCAGGGTGCCAATAAAACACTTTTATGACACCGATTCGGCACAGAAACGAAACGTGTTATTTTCCTTAATTAAAATGCTGATCAACGGTAGTGTTCGTAGTGTTTCAGAATGAACAGGCAGAACTCTTGCACTTTCCGCTGTTCGAAGCTGTTGGCTGGTTGCTGTTGGCTGCTGGCTGGATGTGGGCTCTCGGAAAAGTGTGCCAGGGAAATGCCAGTCGAATGACATAACTGCCAACCGCAAGCTTATCTCAATTGAAGCGCACCTCAATGTAACTGTAAGGCATGTGTGTGGAAGCCACAGATGGAGGCAACCACACCACACAACACCACACCACTCGAGTGGACTGCCAGCCAAGCAACCAAGCAAGATACAACAACCAGCCTGGCGACTACGAATACCCATACCCATACCCATAACCGAGCAGGCTATCTTCATTTCATGGCTGGCAATTTGAAAACTGCACCCGCTGGCCACTGGCACAAGGCAGAAGGCAGAAGGAGTCGACATCGACTGGATGCCTGGCTGCTTGGTTGCCTTGCTGCCTGGTTGCCTGGCTGCTTGGTTGCATGGAATAGCACACGGCCGGCCACAATGTGGGTCACCTCGGAGTTATTTCTATAGAAATACTTTTTTGTTGTCCGCGAAAAATTTCTCAAAGTTAGCGACAAATCTTCAATTAATGGCCAGTGAAATTTCTCAAATATCAAAAGATCTGGCGTGGAGTGGAGTGGCGTGGCGTGGCATGGCCTGGCCCACAAACTTGTTTCCATTTGATGCGGTATATCAAAAGACATCTCAACTGGAAGAATGAGGGAAAATCTACACCAAAAACTTTTCATTTCATGGCCCCAGACACAGACGCAGAAGCAGAAGCAGACCCAGACCCAGACCTAACGGCAAATTAACCGCAGCAATTTGAAAGCCGTTCGAAAACCTAATCTATGCACCCAATCCATAAACACACTCATGTATAAATAAAATATATACCCACAAAAACAACAAAAACAACAAAAAAGAGAGTAAACTCCGGGGAGAACATGATCTTGTGGCTCACGCTTCGCCCGAACATGCCACCGAAATCAACGAAGAAGAGCAGCTCTAACTGTGAAATCATTTCATCCAGATCATGAAAAGTCAACATGGATCAGGCATATTAATGAGCTGCTCTGTGGCATGGTGGAGTGCAGCTTAGGGTATCGTTTAACCGGGGGCTCATGGCGTAATAGGCAAATCAGTTTGGGGGCACGTAGACCCGAGATTTGTCAGTCAGAAATGTGACTGCATGGCTCAAACCGCAGCCTGGGACATTTCGATTCTAATGTCAATGGGGAAGTCTTTAAAGAAAAGGCAGCGAAAGTTTTACATGGTTTGACATTCAAGTCTTGAGCTCTGAGGCCCCAACTAATTGCCATTAAATTGTCGCATCGAACCGTTGCCTGACCCAAATCACACTGGCCACCAGGATCCCGATCCCAAGTGGGTAAATGAACAGCAAGAAAAAAAAAAATAAAATAAAAAAGAAGCAGAAGGAAAAAGAAGAGTTGCAAAAGGAGAAGTTGAAGTTGAAGTCGAGCTGAGAAGAACCACTCAAAAGACTTGACCAGGCAAAAGTTAATTGCCTGCAGAATTCTGCACATTTGGGAGTTGACGAGTTCTCTGCTCTCCTGCACGCTTCCGGCACGGCTTCATAGCACAAATGCCATCTTCTCGGGGTTTATCTTGGAAACTGGAAACTAATGTGACATCTTTTCAGGCTGTTTGCTGCCTTGCAGTTGAATGTTGGATGTTGGATGCTGGATGTTCGCTCTACGCTGTTGGCGAACCAAACAGAACTGACATTCACCCAGAGCTTTCTCTAATGATCCATTGACCATTTTCGTTTAATTGATGGACATGTGGACATCCTGTTTGGCTGACAATTGACACCTTGTCGGGCTTGCTCGACCTCGACCATTGAATGCCAGTCGAAGTATTCGGCAAAGCGCGTATTTGCAACAGTTCTTCAAACACTTTTTGGTTTACCTTTGATTCAATATATCGAAAGCACTTGTATGCGTTAAGGAAACGTTTCAGTAATTCACTTGAATGCTGGCAGGACACGCACGAATGGGTTGATTAATTGTTATTTAATTCCTTTCCTCCCGTCTGGTATTTTGTTTGATTTAAACGTGTTGTTTGTTTGTTCGTGGCACCGAAATAATTTATCGAAACTTTGGAACCGTCGAACCGCTCGAGCGCTCGCCGTCTGCACTGTCGAAAGTGGAGCGCCTAACTGCCTAGCATATGTTTCGGGTAAACGTTCTTATGTGACTTCGACTCCGTCTCCAAGTCCAAGTCCGACTCCGTCTCCGTCTCCGACAGATGCTGGGGGGAAATGGAGAATCGATTCGAATGGCTCTCAGAGTTCGTTAGCTTCTATGACTTCAGCGTTTTGCGTTTGCCACTGCGACTGCGACTGCCAGTTCGAGCACCTTGACACTGAATGCTGGCTGCGAAGGCCGCGGAAAACGTTTTCAAGCTGGGAAGCCAAGCCACCAAGCCACCAAGCCACCAAGCCACCAAGTCAGAGCCAGCTCCAAAGCGAGAGCCAAAGTCGATGTTGGCGTTGGCGTCGACGGAAGCAGAAGCGGCAGTGGCAGCATCGACTAACTAATGTTGTCTCTGCCTCTGCCACGGCCACTGCCACGGCTGCTCTGTGCCTCTCTTTGGCCATGTAAACCGGTAAAAGACAGACGGCTAATGCCGAGCCTCTCTTAGCCAGCTCTCTTGTGTCGACCATTCTCTTTGCTGACTACTTTCTTCAGCAGAAGCTTTTCTCGCAGCGCTGGAAGAGGCCTCAGTCGAGGGCCTGGGACTGGCTATGGCTATGGCTCTGGCTCTGACTCTGCGTCTGAGTCTGGGCCCTCTGTGATTCTTGTTCTTGTCGGAAGTAATAAAATGCAATTATAACAGTGGAGGCAAATGATTTTCTAATGCGATTGCCTGACACGCAGCTTCAACATTGAATTGCACTGAATAATGCCAAATTGAAGTCTCACAGCAGGTTATGCTGGTGGAAGAGCTAAAAGCAGAGGCAAACGCGAAGGCAGAGTTCATTTGCAGCTGCAGGTGCTTCGATCATTCAAGAAGAGAGCCCATCAAAAGAGGGGGAGACCCACGAGCGGTGCTTTTACGAGAAGCGGGAGAGAGGAGAGATGAGTGCTGGCTAGAACCTTGCAGCTTTCTAATGATCAAAGTCGTAACTACCAGAAGAACTACGCGTACTGGTGCGAGTATCTCTGCACGATGAGCATTACCTCAGCCTCAGCGCACGCCTAATTAAGTGCGCGATAACAATCGAAGCAGAGAGGAGGCTTCAACGGGCTTCGAGCTGTAGGGAATGGGGTCACTGATTGTGGGCATGGGCACAGCCACGAGTACTCTTCGTGTATCAAGGCAGCCCACTTTGATACGAGCATTTATGCAACCGCTCTTCATCTTTCAGCAGTTGCGCCACAAAGAAAGCAGGGGCTCGGTGTCGGTGCCGGTGCCGGGGTCTGACTCGAATTTGTCCGTCACATAATGCAATTAAATACTGCCGCGCCATCATCGAAAGCACAGCGAACTGCACTCGTCGCACTTTTCCCCATTTTCCCCCCATTTTCACGCAGTTCAGTTCCGTTGGAGCTTCCACTGCATTCGATTACGACAGTTGCGATGATGTGGATGATGGTTCGAATTCGACTCCGATTCTCTGGCGATTTAAAATCGAATGGGATGGGATGGAGAGGGACTTTTGTCGCTTTGTGGCCATAATTGACGCCCCTCCGCGTTCGATTAACGCCTCTGAGGCTGAGGCTGGGACTCGTACTCGTACAATTTATTCCAACAATGAGCAGCGGCAATCAATCTGATAAGGAAATTATATAAATTGTGTCTCTCGGAAAAGCTTTGGGAATAGGAATAGAAATAGGAAGTCTGCAATCGCCATCCGCTCGGACTCGGATTTCGATTTGGATTCGGGCTTTGCCCTAGCTCTAGACTTGAATTGGCGTGTGAATGAAAAGTGCCCCGACCTCCACGGTTCTGCTGATGGCCAGGGATCGATTTGGCCACGAAATACCATTCTGTACCATTCCGAAGAGAGAACTCCAAGAACTCCAAGAACTCTTAACTGAACTCTTCTGCTCCGCTTCTGATTGAGTAATTGCAGCTGGCAGAGTTTTGCTGTAATTGCTATCGCCTGCCGCGATCGCTGCCAAAATTATGAAGTCCGACCCGCTCCCGACTTCCCAGGAATTAATTCGGCTTTAATCTCTGCCCAAAAGTTGTCGGGCAGAGTTAACATTTACAGTTTCCCTCTGCTGGCCGAGGTGTGGAGTTTGTTGGCCTCTTACCAAGGCCAGTGCCACACGGCGGATGGCTTAGAGATATATCAAACACTCGACCGTTAGGAGGAAGTCCCCGGCACCTGAATCGTTCGATTGGGGCCGTGTTCTGAGTTCTGTGTTCTGCTTTCTGTGTCACTTCGATATTCAAATATTTGTTTGCGTTCTAGATCCGAGCCAGAGGCAGAGGCAGAGGCCGAGGCGAAAACTGGGCCAAACAGCGCCGAAAGTGAAGACAGCCCCGGGGGTCGGTGGTTCGTTTGCAGAGCAAACAGATGCTGTCGCTCCACTCCCCGCCCAATCGAGTGACATGCAGATTTCCTTTCGATTTTCGCACATTCTCCCAGCAGCAGCAGCAGCTGCTGCTCTGCTTGTCTGCTGCTCTGCTTGTCTGCTGCTCTGCTGATTGCCGCGTGGGCCAGTCCCAGTGCCAGTCCCAGTGGCATTCCCATTCCGATTCCCAAGTGGAAGACGGTGACATGGCCTAGGTCGAGGCAGGAGCAGGAGCTGTTGCTGGTCGCGAGGGTGAGCAGCGATCGCTGTTTATGTTTCCGGCAATCAATCGACAGAAATTCGCTTTTGCAGCTCGCTTATTCGTCTCTTTCTTCAATTGTTTGCAAATTGATCGGTTCCCCCTCTGCAGCTGCTCCTCCTCCTCGGCGAATCCATTTGGAGTTTGCTCATTAGAAGTGGAGCGACACTCCCCGTCCCCGTCGCTCCTCCTAGCGGACTCCGACATGGCACTCAGAGATTCGTTTACTTTCACTGGGAATGCAGTGCGAGAATTTCGGGGAAAGGATTGCGATGGCCCGCAGAGATACAAATGTGCGTCATCAATCTGCACTCTCATCCTCTGCCAGGGAGAAGTTTCTCCATTTCGGAGAGTGCAGAGCGGAGAGTGGAGGGGAATCTCCGACACCCATCGACCCCTAATTGGCGATACGCATCGCACGCATAATGAAAGTGGCCATCAAAGGCGCCAGCTGCAGTCCGTCACTCGATGACCCGAATCCGAATCCGAATCGGAGTCCGAATCCGAAGAAGAGGAACGAAAGACTCAAGCGACGAACTTGATGACTCTGATTCCGATTCGTACTTCGAGTCGAGTATGGTAACGACCTTTCCTTTCCCTTCCTTTCCCTTCCCTTCCACTCTTCTAATTTCACCGCATTTGATCTGTTTTGTTTCACTTTTCAATGGTTCTCCCTGCTCCTCTTCGTGCCCCCTTCATGCCCTTTGGGTCTTTCTAATTGCAGCTTTCTATGCAGAAAGAAAAACTCATTCTATCAGAATTTTCACTCTTAATAAGTGTCTCGTTTGGTCTGGTCTGGTCTGTGCCACTGACTGACTGACTGTCAACGCCTTCGTCTTGTTGTTCGTCTTGGTCTTAGCTGTGGTCTTGCCCCGGAGTGGCATGGTGTGGCGTTGCTTGGTCTGGTCTGTGGCATAAAACTGTCAACGAGCGTTTAACCCAGTTAACGCCCTTAGCCGGCGACAACGTTGCAGCCTCGTACTTGGACTGAAGCAGAGTCGGAGTCGCCGTCAGAATCGGCACCGGCATCGGAGTTGTACTTGGACTTGGACTACACTCGACTCCAAGTTTGGATCCATTCGACACGAGACCCGGCACACAAAAACGAGCAAGGTGTAAAAACAACAAGTGGAATGGGCTGTGGCAGTGGCGGGGGAGGCTGCTGCCACTGCCACAGATAAGAAAAGCCACAGACCAATGTGGCAGTGGAGCGGCGAAGGTTGATGTTGAGTGATGGCTCCACCTCGCTGAGGTGCGAGTGGCGAGGGGCGGTGGGCGGTGCGGAGGTGTTGATTGCGGCCAGCGGATATTGGCGCACCTCGGAGGATGGGATGGGGGAGTGGAAGTGGCAGAGTCAGTGGGGATGGAAGATTGACCGATGTCTGGCTCTGGCTCTGACTCTGGCTTTGGTTTTGGCTCTGGCTTTGGCTCCTACTCAGGGTCTTTCTTGTTCTTCGACCGACTCTGAGTCCGATCGGTGGCTCGGAGTGCACACAGGAATTCTGAGCACGGTGAAAGTTGCCAGCTCCATCTTCAGCTTCTCCTCCCCATCAACCTCCCCCTCCCCATCTCCATCTGCATCCAAAGACACGACAACGGCAGCGACTTGTTGAAATTCTGGTCCCAATAATGACACTTAAGCGATGCAGTTTTTTCGTAATATGAATTTTCCTGTTTGAAGCCGTTGCCGTTGGTCGCAGCTCCAGCTGCAGCTCCCCACCCGCCGCTCCCTGTTTCACTCTTCACCTGAAGGCCCGCGTCTCGCCATCAATTACAGCCGCGAAAGGAGCGACGAAGCGGTGGAGCGGTGGGTCGGTGGAGCTGCGGAGCCACCACCTGAGCTGCAACTCAATCACCGACCAACATCCAACAGCCAACAGCCATCGGCAGCTTCTGCTTCTAATTGCTGGCGTTTTTGCTCCTGCTTTGCCTCTGTCGGAGTTGGATTTGGACTTGGTGGAGGAGGAGAGGGAGGATTGGAGGCGGCAGGAGGATCAGGAGCATCCACCATGTGAGTTATGGACACGTATACGTATAGGTGCCATCTACTCGATTGTTGCATCCATATTCAGAGGGATTGGAAAGCTCCTCTCCTTCTTTCTCCTTCTTTGGCTGCCTGGGAGAGTTTCCCAAGTGTCCACCTTCCATCTACCAATGGACCAATCGACCAATGGACCGATCGCTACGCAAATTGACGGTTTCATATTCCCATCATCAATTGCTCACATTCCCGACTGCCGACTGCCGAGTGCCTGACACATGGAAGCGGGCAACGGTGATGCAATCTCCATGCATCCATGCCGCCGATGCTTCCACTTTTAATTTACAATCCCAGAGTCTGCGATTAGCGACGACGTCGCAGAAAGTTATGGAGATGGGAACAGGGGATGGGGGCTCCTCTATTCTCTCAATATTTGCTCTGGGCGTTGGCACACCAGATTGCCAAGTGGCCAGCTCTCGAGGCTTCCTTTGCCGGAGCCCAAAATGCAGTTGTCTTCTTCGGTTATGTCTCTGCAAATGAAGGGGTGTGCCGGGTCTGCATCCACACGTAGATGTGGAGGAGGAGCAGTAG